AAAGCTTCTTTTTTTTTCACATATACAAGTTTTCATACAATAATTAAATAAGATTGTTCACAAGAATAAGTCATACAGAATTGGATTTCAATGAATTTATTTGAAGTACCTTTTAGACAGTGCGAAATCGCATTTTCTTAAAATTAAATTGCAAAATGGATGATTTCTTAAATATCTTTTGCCTTACAACCTTTTTATTTGTTTGTTATTTAATTAACGATTTGTCCAAAATTGAATCCGCTCAAGAAGTCTTCAACGAATACCTAACTGAAGAGGAATTTATTTATGAAATATATTATGATGAAGAGTCGGTGGTGAATAAAACAAAAGCCACAGTAAACGAAACGAGTATCGCAGTAAATGAGCCGAATGACAACAATAATTTCCAAAATCATCAATCAGAAGTAGAAAACAAATTACTGAGTAATTTTTCATCAAAAGAAACAAATGACGATAAATGGAAAATATTAGAATTTAAATTTGCTAACATGACTTGTGAAGAAAAATTTGACAAAAGAGGTTTAATATTACGTTTAGATATTAAAAGACTTATAGAAATATTGGAAAAAATTGAGCCAAATTTAGTCAATTCTTGGCTTCAAAACTTTATTGATAGTATTGATATCAATGAAAATGATAGCTTTTATAATACTAAATTAAGAATAAAGCAACTTGAATATATTATATATAATGAATTAATTCCAAACCTAATTATAAAGTGCATCATGGGAGCTATAGTGTGCACTTAGAAAGAGTGTGTATTACTACTAGTATCCCGAGTCTTTCTGGCAACAATTGTGTTAATTTATTATAGACCCGGGCTGTAAAATCCTATGCACGTGTAGAGGTTGAGGGTGCACTCCAAGCATGGCTATAGTGTACACTTAAAGAGCGCGTTACTTAGGGAGGTTTTACTATCTCAAATCAAACTCGGCACCTTTTTCAAAAATGATTTTTTTGACGATTATGGGCGTTTCTCAACAATGAAATTTTGAAACCTTTGAACATTAAAGTTAAAGCAAAAGTTTAATTTCTTTCGTGTTCAATTCACTGATGAGGCGCAATAAATCACGTAACCTAGAACAACTGAATATATTATGTAGCATAATAAAGTAAATTACTATTATGAAGATATACCCGCTTCGATGATGTCTATTAAATCAGAAAATGAATTAAAAGAAAATATCAACAATGTATCCCAACAAAATGAAAATGCACTACTCATCGAAATTATAAATGAAAACATCTTTAAACAAAAAATAAACAAATCAGAAATGTTCCAAAAACAGTTGACCGAGTAAATTGTAAAACTTTCAAGCTGCAACGTAAAGAATCGAAGTTTAAAGGAAAGAAGAATTTTGGCAGATTTAGAGATAAAAGATTTTTAAATAAATTGGATTCAATTAATCCATTGTATTGAAATTATTGAATCGAATTTAATATATTTCGATGCCATTTTATTTTACGAGTTACACTTCAATTCAAAATAAACAATTCATAGAATAGTTTAATTTTATCGAATTAAATATAGAATAGATGACACCTCAGCAAGTTTCGAAAGGCAAAGAATTAGCCGTACTCAAGTAATCGAGACATATGGCGGGCGCAACACTGCTTCATGTGACCAAATTAGTATTGCGCAACACATGAAGTGGCATTTGTGATTACATGAATATGGCTAATTCTTCGTCACTCGAAATTTCACCAGAGGTGATATCTATTCTACATTTAATTCATTTTTTTTTAAAAAAAAATCACTTCATTTTTGTACAAATTTTAGACAAGACAAGACGATACCTTGTAATATATAATATATTTTTTTCATGAGTTTGTTAACAATTTATACGTCCTAAAAATAAAGTGTGACTAGTCAAGTATAATTTATATATATATATATATATTTAATTTGACTTTTATACCTGTCAGAATACAAAAGAAGCCAAAAAACATGAAAGTAATGAAAAATAAAAAGTTTTGAAATTACAAAATTTATAATATTTTATTATCTAAAATTAATAAACTTATACGACCTACGTTTACTATAAAAAAAAAATAAGAATACTTTATTTTTTACTGAAAAAAGTATCTTATAAAAAGCAATAGAACAAACAAGCACACCTAATTCTCAATTACTATAACAAATTAATTAAAAAACCATTAACCTCTCAAGAGTATGCATACTTTTAGAATCAACAAAAGTATAAGTATTTGTTAAAATAAAATATTTGATATATGTTCCAGATTTACGATAAAATCCCTTTTCAATGTAGTCCCGATAAAATAATCCATCTGGATAATACATTATATATTCGATTTTATCGGCTTCAATGGTATTCTCGTAATGGTCGAAAGAAGTAACATTTTGAAACTTCACAAATCTACTTTTCGAATAACTAATAATCTTTGCATACTCCGCTTTGATAAAAAATTCACTATCGAACAAATTTGAGTCATAGTAAAATTCGATAGGAGTATCATCGATAAGTTGAAAATATACATTTAAGGTTTTATCGTTAGGAATTGTTAAATATAAAGGAGCAATTAATTCATAGGTTTCAAAAATAAAAATCTCTTCATAGATTTTAAACTCTTCGTAATACATTTTTTTTTAATACTTCTTTTACGAATCAAATTCTTTTTATTGCACATAACTTAATCACGTGTAGAATTAAAATTTTCAATCCTCTGTATAAATCTTAAATTATATTCATTATCTTAATTAAAGCCACAACATATAATTTATTGGAAATTTTTATCAATCAGCAAACGCAACAATAATAAAAATTCAACATCACTTTCACTTTAAAACCTGTATAAATTTTAAATAATATTCACGTCTTTTTCAGTAATAACTAGAGATGTTGAGTAGTCTGACCACTTTGAATTTTACAAGACAATTTATACTGGCTAACCAGTTTAACATGTTATAGTACCCACAAACACGATAACATAAAAATTTACTAATAAAAAATTATTAAAATTTATTTCATTGTAATCATATGATTCAACAACCAATAAAAATTTACATTCAATAAAACATTAAACTTTCACAACCAACCAATCATTATTCCAGATATGTTTTTCAGACTTTGGACACCGTTGCCCCTTAAAATGACATTTAGTTCACTTTTCCATATTCCATTCTTCATTTGATTTTGACAATTTATTCGTCCAGTCCGTAGTACTTAATTCCGATAGTTTATATTGGCAGTCTTGCGAATTATGAGTAGTTCGATTCCTATATCGTTCATTATTTTCACCAACTTCATCACAGTATTTATACCATTTATAATCTTTATATTTGACGTCCTCCCAACTCCATCTGACTATAGCACCGCAATAACAGTACAGTTTTAACATAGAACAACTTTTACAATAATCTGGTTCTTAAAACCAAATACTATCATTCTCAGAACAACATTCACATATCTCATTGTTCATATTACACCAAGAATTCTTCAGATATATAAATTGGTTGTGCCATATATCGTGAATGCCAAATAATAAATTTATTCAAGCAATACTCACAACTCGTCGTTATTTCAAATTTACGAGTACTAAAAATTTTGAAATTTTAAATTAACCTAATAAATATGTATAGATCACAATTTATCACATGATATAATATAAAATATTTGTTGTATAAATGGGCTGTCGCCAATAGAAATCAAGCAAATCTACTTTTGAAAAAAATTTAATGCTTTATCTTTCACAGCTTATATCTTGATGAATTTTAAAGCTATCTTAATGATTTAATATTCAAAAAAAGCTTAGATTGTAAGCTTTCTTTTGAATATTAAATTATCAAGATAGCTTTAAAATTCGAGATATAAGCTGTGAAATTTAAAGCATTAATTTTTTTCAAAAGTAGATTTGCTTGATTTCTATTGACGGCAGCCCAAATACTTGTATTTGGTGACCAAATTCTAGATAATGACAATCTCGTTTCTACACGTGATATTGAATATTGTATAAAAAAAAATTATACACGCATATATACAGGATGTTATTATAAACTGTGATGTATATTTGAGGCAAGATATGTAATATATTATAGTTTACTTTATTAAGTATACTGTATTGTAATGCAATATCACGCTGTTTTTAAATTTAGTGTTTTGAACCAAAATTGAACTGATAATATGTATAAATAATCCCAGATTATTTTAAATCGCCGGTGTGAAATCCATAGATTTAAGTAACTCATAGATTATTTATATACTTATTCTAATAAATAAATATTTTTTTTACATCTGTCCTGCTCATATTTAATACTATATATAATCGCCGCTTGAGTTATCCGTTTTATTAAAAGCCTTATGTAATATTTTAGTTTTTAAGAGTACTGTTGCTGAAATTATTTTCTCATTAAAGAGAAACATTAAAAATATGATTTATGAAAAAAATCAGTGTTACTATTGTCGAAACGTGGGGCACAAGTATGCCAATTGTTTATCGAAACGACAAATAGATCAAGATAATGAACTAATTCTTTCTACAAAAATGTGGATGCTTTATAAGGTAGAACTTTATATAAAAAACGAATCTCTGTGCTCTACTATCACGTGATTTACTAATTTAATTTTCAGAAATTACTCCCTTCAAAGAAAACTAATGAAAATAGAGACAGATTAGTTATGAAAATTGAAAAAATTTTAAGCAACGAATGGCCTGATCACGAAATAGAAGTTTATTTGTTTGGGTAAATAAGTTTTTTTTTTAAATTTAATGTTGAAAAAAATACATTTTTAAAATAATTCATTGAAATAACATTTTTTATAACGATAATTTCAAAAAGATCATCCGTAAATCTTCTTGGAACATCAACATCTAATGTTGATTTATGCATTACGATGCCAAGTAGAGAGTTAGAAAACATATCTGCACTGTCTGTGAAGTTGCAAAAATGTGCGCAAAATGTATTTATTAAGGCGGCATCCATAATTATGGATGCCGCCTAATTTGTGAAGAAAATTTATTAATACCCTTTCGTATATTAAATAGATAATATGAAAATAACTGAATGTGTTACCAATGCTAAAGTTCCTATTGTTAAATTTTTGGATCCTACGCTGTATGTAACTATTTACTTCTATGCTATATTTTTATTATTGTTTAACTTATGATAAGGCGGCATCCATAATTTACGTTAAACCAGTATTGTTATTGAGATCTTAAAAGATAATACAAAAATAATACCATTTTATGTATTATCATCAAGTTCCCTATTTCTATACAATACAATACATTTAACGTAAATTATGGATGCCGCCTAAGGATAAGATTCTTATCGTGTTATAATTTCTAACTACAAATATTTACAGTAATTTAGCATGTGACATCAATGTTAATAATACTCAGGCCTTACTTAATACAATGTTAATAAAGTCGTATGTAAATTTAGATCCAAGAGCTCGCCCTTTAGTAATAACAATAAAACATTGGGCACGAATTCGAAAATTAAACAATGCTGGTATTCTGTTGATTTTAACAATTATTTAAAGTTTTCAAATCTTTTAATGTGTAATTATATTCATTATTGTAGCTTGCGGAACCCTATCATCATATACTTGGACATGTATGGTTTTGAATTTCCTTCAAATGCGTAATCCTCCAATTTTACCAGTATTAAAGGTTAATAGAAAAAATGAAGATATTGAATTGTTGAAAGTTGGTTACAAAAATAATGAATCGATTGGTGGATTATTATTTGCTTTTTTTAAATGGTAAATTATACTAGACTAGAGTTTGAAACCTGGTTTATTTTTTATGTGTCAAAAACTGATTTTAGTCGAGTTTAATATATGAACAAATAAAATTCAAAATTATAATTATTTATTTAAATTAATAAAATATATCATACTTTAATTTATATTAGGTTTGCATATGACTTTGAATATGAAAATTACGTCATTTCTCTTCAGCTAGGAAGGTGCCTTAATAAATACGAAAAAAATTGGATACGTTGGAAATTATGTATAGAAGAACCTTTTAATATAGAAAGGAATCTTGGAAATGGAGTGAGTTATGATGGTTTTAAAAAAATTAGGAAGGAATTTCGTAGGGCAGTAAGAATTCTTTATAAAGCGGATCTCAAAGTTTGTTGCCAAGCACTTACACCACAAGCTGAAAAGTATGAATATAATTAAACGGATCTAATATAATTACTAATATAATTACTATACCACTAGATGAGATTTATGAGTGTGAAAATGATGATGACGGATCTCTTGTAATTACTTCAGAAGCTTTAAGTAAAGCTAAAGTTTATCTTGATATCATCAAAGAAATAAAAAATAAAAATAAAAAATTTATTTACACTCTGTATATTTTTTATATATTGAAGTCCTTTCTTGTTATACGTTATTAACGTTATTATTATACAGTAAAGCAAAATGAATAATGATTTATTTTCTTTAATTCCAAAAGATGATATTAGTGCTAATTTTTAAATTATAATCATTCTTATCTGAAATAATTTTGAAGATTACAGTATAAGCGGACCTTAAAAATTCTAAAAAAATAGATACAAACAGATATAGAACTTTTTATTACAGTTATAATATCACATGACTAAATGGACCCATGGGTCCGTAAGATCTTTGAATTGTCACAATTCCATCAATTGTTTTGATCATCATTCGCCAACCAATCAGAGAATTTAGCATATTTAAACCAAAAAGGCAATTCCTTTTTGGTTTCCAAATTCTCTGATTGGTATTGTAATTTTTTGATCAGCCGTGGATTAGTCATGAGAATATGGGGTGTTATAAATGTTTAAGAAAATTTTAGGCAGTTCCATCTCAGAATAAGGCCAGTTACGGTTATTCAATTCATGTATCACATGAATGATTGATCCGATTAAACAAAATTAAAATGTCTTTGAGTTGGAATTGGAGATTGAGAATACGCGTGTATAATACCTTTTAATTATATGTCTTTAAACAATTGAGATTAATTCATTTTTGTTATCATGAGACTTAATACTGTTTAGTATATTTAACGTTAATATATTTGGTTTTTATAATTTTTATGATAATAAAAGGAATACGTATGAAAAAAAATCTTAAATAACAAAAAATTATACGTATGAATTATATATAAACAACATTAAATAAAAATATAATATACTTCTGAACAAATTTAGGGAGTGTTAATTAGTTTAATTTTGTATTTAAAGGTGAGCCTCTTTATACAAGTGAATCAAAATTCAAGAACGTATTCGAATTTAATCCTATTTATGATATTCAAGAACGTTTACCAATCAGAATAACTATACAGGGTGAGTTTTCTCATTAATTACTTGTCGAGTTATTAGTGTATCCAAAGTTACGCTGCCACATTAGTGCAATGAAATCTGATAGAGAATTGAAAGCGCATCGGGCCAACCATTTTGGTTGAACGTTCTCCTCTATCAGTTATCGATGTTCCTGTAGTACTGGCCCTGTCTGTGTTAGAGAGGACCTTTCTGTATTAAAATACTAGAAAGCGTGTGTCTAGGAAGTTGGTGAATAGGATCCACTTTAGCATTGACCATGTAACTGTTGACTATTCCAGCCATGTTCTTTGTTAGTTGATAATGATGACACAAGTATTTTATTAATAAATTTTAATTCCAAAAAACAGGTCGTTA